AAGATGCGTTCTCTGTATCACCCGACACAGGCACAGGACGAGTGACCTTGTTAATTGAATCAATATAGTTAAGTGCACAATACGGTGTCCCTCTTTATGAAATACTGGAAAGAAAGAAAATTAATATTAGAGATGACTAATAGACTTAGAATAATAAAATTAAGTAATGACATGTGTAAGTTGGTGAATGACCTTAATGAAGAAAACAAATTCTAAAGTAGACAACATATTCAACGGAGGCTCAGTCTTTTCTGCATAGAAATATTGAGTATTCCCAGGTCTTTTAATGCATTTTCACATTTCATAAAATCAGAAATTTGTGATTTAATTACACGTAAAAGTAATTGGTTACAATGAATTGCAATGAACGAAGTAAAAAGTTACGCAGAATTCTGCGAAATCAAGAGCAGTAGGTCCTCCCTCTGACTATGCTGCGAACTATGGCAGATGGGAGTAGTTTAGTCCGGAGTGCCCGTGCTGTCAGTACTGACGTTGGTTGTGATGGCAGAGGTGGTCTCACTCTGTGGCTGTGTCTCATCGATATTGAGCCATGGGAGTCGCTTCTGTAGCTCAACTCTGTTAAACAAAGTATGTTTCTCAATTCTGGAAGATGCAATTATTTAATGCCTATGTTGTATCTTGCACTTAACATTTACCAAACATACGAGGAGCGATCGGAAAGTTTCAAGACTGTGTCAATAGAGGGCGAACCGGATGTAGTACGAGCTTCTGCCTTTAGGGGGTGCGGCCTACATTCATAGCGAATCAGTGTGCCAGCCGGCATCATCAAATTAGCATTTGTTTCTTAGTTACGGGCGTTTTGGTAGTGCATTACACCGACCCTCCTGCGATTTCGGAATGGCGTGTGCATCAATTTTGCCAAAGACTCGCCAAAACGGCTACGGAAACCTATGAAATGCTAAAGCAAGCATTTGGGGAGTCCGCAATGGGTCGTGCACAAACTTTCTATCTTTGTATTTTAGAGTGTGAAACAATATCCACCTAAGTTTTCTTACAAAAGACCACAGCTGTTGATATTCCTTAAGATTCCTTAAAGTAAAGAACTTTAGCTCACCTGTATCTGGGGTGACTTATGGCGTACACGTATGGGTCCAGGCAGGCAACGAATTTGCAAGTTAAAGCTGGAATCATACTCGCTCCAGGCGTGAGGAGAGCCCTAGAACATGCAAAAATTACAACTTGTTTATCAACAGGTTTGTGTGACGCGGAGATAACAAATTTATTTTAGTATAATGATACTATGAAATTAATACATACATATTCTGAGTAAACTGATATGGGCGTTCAGTCAGCAAGACTGTATTTTTAAAGGGCATATTAATACACCTTTCTGCTTATATCTCCCCCTTATACAACAACTAACCAACTGACTGACTCTTATAGCAGAATCTGAATGTTCGACACGACAAATACTAAAGCCTGCAACAGGATCCATCTATATTCAGTCCTTGTACCCTATCGCCTGAAGACCCGTCTTCCTCTTTTGTCATCAAAGCAAACATTCCTCAAGAGGTTTCCTCATCAATATTCTGTACGTATTTCTTGTCTGTCTATGCCCATGTCATTGTAATACCCTACATTTCACTGTCTTAACAATATTAGGTGATGCTTATATGCCTATATCATGGCGTTCATATTATGACAGGTCTGTGATGACAATATCCACCTAGAACATTTTGTCGGCATCAAACAATTTAAATTTATGTAAAAGGCATAGTTGATTTGTAAATCTCTGTAATAAAATCTGAGTTTTCTGTTAAATTATTCTCTAGAAAACTGCATAACACGAAGAATCATAAATTGTACTCTTCGCCATATATTATTACGATGATAAAATGAAGAAGGATGAGATGGGTGAGGCATGTAGCATATATGGGAATGATAAGAAATTCATACACAATTTTAGTCACAAAATCTGAAAGGAAGATACGATCTGGGAGATGTAGGGGAGCAGAGTAAAGAAACAGGGTGTGAGGATGCAGACTAGAATCATCTGCCTTAGGACAGGGTTCAAAGGTCTTTTTGGGTTCCTTAAAAGGCAAGGAGTTTCTCGACTAGCTGAATGATTATTAGCATCTTACGAAGGACTCTGAAGCTGAAACAATTTAACCTTTAAAGTACCAGGTGTTTAAATTCCTGCATCCATCGGTGGCCCAATTTAAATTCCACAGTTAAGAGTACACTGTGCGTGTATTTCAATAAAATCATGTACTTTTCTTTAAAACCCACATACAACAACAAAATAAAATATATATTACATATTACATATTCAGAAGAGTTTACTTTGCCGCTTAGAACCATTCCTCAAGCCGTCACTCCGTAATATTATTTTTAATTGAAAGGAATATCGCACATATTTACATTTCTTTGCTATCGGATTTTATTCATGTGTTTAATGGGAGATTTTAGAAACTGTAGAATTTCCTGTTATACGTAAACACAAACGCAGGTTCAACCATTTGAGGGTCAGTTTTCCTCGGTGGTTTCCAACTGCATGGAAAAGGTTGCAAACAAGTTGTTCCTTGAATTGAAAGCGGGTAATTTTATTCCATAGAACTTCTGTATTAGAAAATATTTATGACAAATAAATAAAAGGTTTTATGGTCGCTTGAAGTCTTGCTGTTAAAATTTTACTATAAACAGACAAACAAGTAATAACCATACGACTGCTGTTAGTGAGGCTGGCTACATAGTTATGTCATTATTACATACTGGTTTCCAAATGCTCCAATGAGGGCCATCACAGCATACGGTGTCCACGATGCTACGAACAGGAAGCAGATGCTGATAGCAGCCTTAGCGATGCGAATTTCAGCCGACACCTGGTTCTGCTGTTGATTGCTGCGCAGGGACTCCACATTCATCTTCTTAGCCTGAGAATACAAGCTAGGTACAGCATCAGTTAATCAGAATTAGGTAAAAGAATATATACGAGGCGCGTCCCAAAAGTAAGTTTCCCACTCGTCCCACAGCTAGCAAACCTTATATTGAGCGAAGCGACTGTGCGTACGTGATAGAGCAATGACGTAGCATGGCGCATGCACTAACGG